AATTATTGTAGAATCACAAATACTTTCGGAAGTATTGGGAATCTGTAATTTTTTCAGAAATAAATCCATAAAGTAATTAAATTGTCTCTACTGATTTACAGATAATTAAAATTACTGCAAAATAGTATTTGTCTGTCAGTCAGCGAAATGAACAAAGAGACAAGTACAAAAGGACACAATGTTTTGAAGATGGTTGAAAAAGCTGACGGTGAAAGATGTTCCTGAGACACTAGCAGTTGATGATCACAGAGAGTCTGATGGAGAGAGGAGAGAGATGTGAACAAAGATTAACAGTGAACAAACACAGCATTGGTTTCAGGAGCGCCGATCAAGCAAGTAGTTGTGCGTGACTGCAAGTGTTGTTCAAGCAAGTAATGCAATTTAATTGCCGATAACTCTAATTTCGACGCTCATTGAACTAACAAAACAGGAACATCGTAGACAGTTTAAAGATACAAAAGAACAACACTCTCCGAGTTGACGGTATGAATATCCGCAAGAAATGAATATTTTCGTTTTTTGGATGGGGCGTGGAATTGCGAAGGCAAACCACGAAGTACCCCTAGAATATAAAAATAAAATCCTCTTTATCGAGCTAAGCCAAATATTCACGATCTGACTGTAGGTTCCCAGCTTTGCTTCAGGATTACTAATGAGAAAAAAACAAAGATACTAATGAATTGAAAGGAAATGTTGAGAGGAATAGCAGGAGAAGTAAATGAGAAACACTAGGGATGAATGGTAAGCATGAGAGGTGATGACCGGGCAGGAGAGGTGAAGGACAAACAGGATACATGAAAGAGGAGAAGAATGGTTGAAGGAGGAGCAGGAGAGAAGAAATCTGATAAGGGGAAGTGAAGGCGAAGCAGAGAAAACGAAACAGGAGCAGAAAACATGAAGGAGGATCAGGGGGAGAGGAGCAGGGTAGGTGAAGGAAGAGCAAGAGAGGTGAAGGCAGAGCAGTGGAAGTGATGGTGGGGCAGGAAAGGGGAAAGATAAGCCGAAGAGATGAAGGCAAGAAGGAGAGGAAAATAAGGGGTTGGAGAGGTGAACGAGGATCACGAGGAGTGAAAGAGGAACAGGAGTTGTAAAGAAGAAGGAAGAGAGGTGAAGGAGGAACACAAAGGATAAAGAAGGAGTAAAGGAAAGTTGAAGAAAGCATTGGGGTAGGAGTATTGGGGAGCAGAGACTGTGAAGGAAAAGCAGGAGAGATGAAGCTGTGAAAGAGTCTTAAACCCTCTCCACGCTTCAACCCTCATCCCCATAGAGCAACGCTCTGCCCTGCTCAAGGAGAATCGTGCGGATGGCTACAGGCGGCGGAACTCAGGTTTTAATTATTATTCTCGCTCTGGGCAAGCGGCGAGCGCGCGCGGCGCGGCGCGGGGCGCGGGGTTGCCCGCTCCTGCGCTTGTTTTGCTCCGAGTTAACTTAGCCGCGCTAATTGTTATATATGTCCGCCGGTAGAGTTCGGGATGCGAGAAAAACCTCCTCTCCTACAGGGATTTACAACTATAGAGAGCGAGAGGCGGCGAGGGGGGGAAGAGTGGGGGAGAGGTCGTCGGGAGAGCGACGACGAGCACAGAGGAGAAGGGGCGGGGCGGGGCGGGAGGACGGGGGAGGGCGTGGACAGCCGGGCGTGCATGAATATCAGGGAGCCGTGAGGAACTGGCGGCGGCCCCGGCCGGGAACGCGTGCGGACTGCCCACCCGACTCCTCCTCCCCCGACACCCCACCACCGTTCGGGCTCAGCACAAATGTTCTGCTGACAAATCTCTTTGAAAGACGTTCCCGCACCTAACTCCCGCACTAATTCCTGCCCATCACTAATGCCTTCCCGGCACTAATTCCTTTTCCTCGCCTCCGACATATCTCTGCCACAGATATATCCCTCATCACCGACAACTCCATCGTCACAAACACATTCGTGGCCGACATCTTCCCGCCACAGACAACTCCGTCTTTACAGATATAACACACTTATCACACACGTAATGTGAAGTTCATACACTGGAACGTCGATATATCGAGCAATCAATGCTCGAATTTATTGATATCGTCAATTGCATTAACCCTCATTTTGCTGAAGTAGGAGTGATGAAACACAACGCATGCCCCAAGAAGATATCCATGGAGTAGTAAAAATGTCCCACGAATACATGGAAGTTCCCGGAATGCGTATTCGCTTGTACTCAAAGATCTCGAGTCTGAGGCGCTGATCTATAGGATGCTCCTCTCATTCATTGTTTCTGATATGGGAAATGTTGATCCATTATCAAACTGCTCCTTACTACTTTGGTCTTCCTCGAAACTAATTGAGAAATACCTGGAAATTATGTGAGAAAGGCATAGGTAGGGAATGAATAAATTTGCAAAATCTTCGTTGTGCAATCACTGAAGTGAGTATTAATGCGTAAGTCGATGAACTGAGTTTCTAATATTCAAGACCTCGTCAATTATAGCGATGATTTTGAATTTGAAGACAAAATTTACATCTAAATGAAAAAGGCGAAGTTCTTGTTTTAATTTCAAAACTATGTTTCTTCGTGGTTTCCATTATGTATTGATCTTTTATGCGCGAATAAAATTAATTTTACAATGAGCCCAGAAATATAAATATCTCATACAATTTTAGTATGGTATTTGTAAACATTGTAACTCAAGATAATGCGAAGATAAACATAAAAACGCGTCTTGAATGTCTGATTGTCCCCGTCCGTTGCTCGCATCCACATTTGCTTCTTCTCCGACGGCCACGAACGAATCATAAAAAGATGATGCGACAGCTGGGACACAAGCCAATGAATTGCCGTTGCGATATCCTTCAAATCCACAATCTGTAAAAGAACTGTTGCGAGAAACAAAGACTTTTATCCCGCAGTTTATAGTTTTCAGATTCGGAAAGTTGATGCAATACTTTTCAGAAATTAGGGAGCACGAACTATTTTACGAGTGTTCGTTATCCCGAGGACTGTGAGTGAATTTCACAGCGAGGAAGATTGTTCTGAAACCAACTGAAAACGAAGTCGTAAAAGCAGTGAGACGTTTGCGTGGCTGTCCCCTTTGTTATTCCGGGTAGAGGGAGCTCCACGTGCTATAAACCCCCGCCTGCTCCCCTCTGTGCTCTTAAGACAGTCCACGAACCGCTCCTGCGAGTATTGAACATTGGGGTGATGTCGCTCTCAAGGCCTATTTCCTGCGCGTAAGTTGCACAAGATGACTTCTCTCTGCCCAGAATATGACTCGGAACGGTGCTATTGTAAAGAGCAGTTGGTACATAACAACTAAAAAGTTAAAATATTTTGTTTGAATTTCGATTTACAGTTTTGAATTTTTATCCTATTATTAGTTACTATCTTCTCTAGTTCCTTTTGTAATAATGTTCTACCTAGAGATTTGGTAGAAATTTCGTAACTTTTAAGAGAACTTCGTAAAAAAGCATGGAGAGAGCAATATCACATGTGGATTTAGTATTTGTAAAATATCGATAAGTGTTGAAAATAAGGAGATGAAGACTATTCTAGGCACCAGAGTCGTCAATTGTCACTGATTAACAGGGTAAAAAATATTACAACTAAAACAGAAGTGAGTCTCACCATTACGAAATTAAACGAAAATAAAAGACTCAAATATGATTGTGTCTTAAAGCAAATGGACTAAGGTCGATGGTCTCAATGCTTAATAATTGACAACCAGGTACAGAGATAAGTCGAAGAATCCCTAGCAGTGTATAAAATGGGGGAGTAGTGAAAGCGACGACTCAAAGGGGGATAACTGCAGACAAAGATCAAGAACTCAGAGGCAAAATCGCTGCATGACGCCATTTCTTTCACAAGGATGGCAACACTGATTATTACCGAGTGATTTGCGCGGCAGGCTTCATTTCATTTTCATCCGTCTTACTTTATTTTTTTAAATAAATTTGCAAAAACCTACGAACATCTTGAAACAACTTGGAAGTTATTAAATTTGAGGAACTTCAACTGAAAAAGGAAAAAACAAAACTGTAGGTAATGCTAGAAAATGAATGAACGTTCTGACGTTCGACTTCTCACATTTGCATTTTTAAGTGTGCAAATATCGCTTTTCAAATGAATGTGATTAACAACCTATTCTTATTAACTTAAATAAAAAAACTTATTGACAGAGACAAACAAAACAATCATATTTTATTGTTTTGTATAGATTCCCCTTCAAAAAGATTAATACAGTAATTGCAGAAGTAGAAGTGAACAGGAATTAGACTGATTTTTGTAGAATTTTAATCTCTTCAAAAATTAGGTGAAATATTGAAGTGTTAAGCAACTCTGTGGAAGAATAAAGTATAGTTGTAGAAGGTTTTGTGACAGAACGTTCGGAACTAATTGAGAATTATCTTATATTAGAATTAGAGAGTAAAGCAGAAGAATAGCTTGCAGGTTATATTGCATGTGTGTTTTTGTGCAAACTAGCAAAAAGGTGTCAGCAATTTTGCTATACTAAATTATAACTATTTGCATCGTCCAACTCTTCAAGTATTTTTACAGTATTTATAATTTTGAAAATACAATATTACCAGTTTATATGCCGTATGGAGGCCATCGGGGCCATCGGACATACAAGGCTCGAGTCATTGGTAATTCCAATGCCAGATACTGAAAGAACATTTTTGAAGAAAGCTAGGCATGAAAGAAATATTCGACACATGAAAATACTTTTAAAACAGTTAACAACGTCGGCGACGCCACTTTCGTCCAATTATTATTATTATTATTATTATTATTATTATTATTATTATT